ATTTTTTCTTAAAAATTAAGTGGCGACTCTAAAACCAATCAAATTATTATTTTAAATAAAGCACAGCTCTTACACAAGCTGCAGGACATTTTGCTTGGTCTTCAGATTGTGCTAAGTGATGCAGAGAATAAGCAAGCATCAAATCGACACGTGAGCCAGTGGTTTAATAAGCTTCAGAGTGCTGTAGACGGCGCTGAAAACTTGATAGAAGAAGTCAATTATGAAGCTTTGAGGCTTAAAATGGAAGGCCAGCATCAAAATCTTACAGAAACAAGCGACCAGCAGGTAAGTGACCTCAACCTGTGCTTGAGTGATGATTTCTTTCGTAACATAAAGGATAAGTTGGAAGAAACCATTGAAACATTGGAGGTGTTGGAAAAGCAAATTGGTCGCCTTGGCTTAAAGGATCATTTTGGTTCGACTAAACAAGAAACTAGAACACCTTCAACTTCTTTGGTTGATGATTCTGATATCTTTGGAAGGCAAAGCGAAATAGAGGATTTGATTGACCGTTTATTGTCTGAAGATGCAAATGGAAAAATGCTGACTGTGGTTACTATTGTTGGAATGGGCGGCGTGGGTAAGACAACACTTGCTAAAGCCGTTTACAATGATGAGAAGGTGAAGGACCATTTTGGTTTGAAAGCTTGGTTTTGTGTTTCTGAGGCATACGATGCTTTCAGAATAACAAAAGGTTTACTTCAAGAAATTGGCTCATTTGAGTTGAAAGCTGATGACAATCTTAATCAGCTTCAAGTAAAATTGAAGGAAAGCTTAAAGGGAAAGAAATTTCTTATTGTTCTGGATGATGTGTGGAATGACAACTACAATGAGTGGGATGACTTGAGAAATGTTTTTGTACAAGGACGTATTGGAAGTAAGATCATTGTGACGACACGTAAAGAGAGTGTTGCCTTGATGATGGGAAATGTAGCAAATTAAGCATGGACAATTTGTCTACTGAAGCCTCTTGGTCTTTATTCAAAAGACATGCATTTGAAAACATGGATCCTATGGGAAATCCGGAACTTGAAGAGGTCGGAAAACAAATTGCAGCTAAGTGCAAAGGAAGGCCCCTTAGCTCTGAAGACGCTCGCCGGCATGTTACTCTCCAAATCAGAGGTTGAAGAGTGGAAACGTATTTTGAGAAGTGAAATATGGGAGTTGCCACACAATGACATATTACCAGCGTTGATGTTGAGCTACAATGATCTTCCGGCACATTTAAAACTATGTTTTTCCTTTTGTGCAATATTTCCTAAAGATTATCCATTTAGGAAAGAACAAGTCATTCATCTGTGGATTGCCACTGGTCTCGTACCACAGGAAGATGAAATAATTGAAGATTCAGGCAACCAGTACTTTCTCGAGTTGAGGTCAAGATCATTATTCGAAAGGGTCCCAAATCCTTCTGAAGGGAACATAGAGAATTTATTCTTAATGCATGACCTTGTCAATGATTTAGCCCAAATTGCATCTTCAAAACTTTG